AGGCACCAGCACATTCATTGCGCCACTTGCAACAGAGTCAAGGGTTGATGGAGACAATCCATAGATTGTAAGCCTGTCGTTGCATGCACCACTGACACTACATTCCTTTTACCATTCCATTTCTCACAGCCTTGCTCTGTACCACCATTATCTCTCCATTTACGGTCAGACAAGACACTACTGCACTGCCAACGGACAGTTTATACTACGAGCATGCTGACCACTTCTTACTAGGTAGGACCGTCGGTATGGATCTGTGTATAACAACCAATGAACAACAGGGATAAGTATTATAATATTGACTGAGCCTCTTACTTGTCTGCATAGTTGTTGCAGTTACAGCATTACTGACTGGAGCAGGGCCAGCTGCATTGAAGATTGTCACAGTAATGGTGTACCTATTCCTGGCTCTAGTCAGTTATTTCTGTTGAACACTAAAGCCTTGATTCACAGTAAAACTTTGCTGATTTATATTGGAACAACCAACTGAAGTGTCTCTCTGCCAATGGACCATAAACCTAGTCACCACTGAGCCACTGGGAGCACTACCAGCAATAGTGATGGTAGTGTCTGTAGCTGTTGGAGATGTATGCAGAACTAGAGCAGATGGAACTGTGGGGAAAAATCAGTTCTGAAAAATAGTAAATGTTGGTATTACTCCTGCTTACCCAAGCGAACAGCGGTAGTAGCAACACTTTCACTGACTAGGTCTGTTGATGATGTGGCTACAATTGATATGGTATAGGTCCTTCCATTAGTAAGACCAGTCAGTGTGTGGCTGTTAGTACTTCCACCAGCAACATTCACACTGCCTGCAGATCCCCCAGAGTAGGAGATTTCATAGCCAGTGATACCATTCAATGGAGAAACAGGACGGTTCCAGGTTACTTCAATACTTGTTGGTCCTCTCTGGACAGCTGTCACACTAGTGGGAGGCGAAGGATCTGAAACTTGAAGTGAAATTACAATAAAGAGGAATAGGTTAGATAATTATTATACCTAATGTGATGTTAGCTGATGCAGATGATGGCCTGGAATTAGACACAGTACATGTGTATGCTCCCAAATCAGTCACAGTCAGAGTGTGGGTGTACTGTGCAGTCACTGGATCATTCAACACAGTCTGGGTTCCTTGGGTGACAGTGGTGGAGTCTCTGGTCCAAGTGACAGTGGTAGCAGGTCCACCAGTGGAGATACAGGTAAGGGTACCCTGGTCAGGGTCAAATGTCACTCCTCCGATATTGAGATGCTCCCTCCTATTATTAAAAGAAAGCCTTGGCATCTTATTTTGGTCAGTAGCTAAGCTACCACAATTTCCTGGCTAACAAATTTTACCTGCACTAGTATACAGTCCTACATACACTGTGGCTCTCACTGAGATGTCTGTATCATCATGGACAGCATTGGTTGGAATCTCACAACGATATATACCAGTTTGAGAAGCAAGGTTTGCACGACGTAGTTCAACTCTCTGTTGTTCTTCAACCACATAAATATCTTCAATTGTCTGCAGAGCTACACCATTAGGGAAAACCCATTGTCCACGATGAAAACCATCTTCATTTCTGCAACAAGTCTCCAGATCAGTGTTACACCAAACACTGGTGCTATCACTTATCCCCACTATTGCAAGGTCTACATAACTATGGTTAGGTAGCCCAGCTCCCATGGATATGGAGACATAAGGGTAAGGGACAGTCTGACAGCAAACCTGCAGACTACAGAGGAGACTCAACGCAAGCACAAATCTCCGATCCATCGCAGAGTGAAAATGTATGAAGCTGAGCTGTGGAATTATACAAAACGCTTGTTTCCGCGCGCGGCGTGCGATTTATTGCGCGAGCGCTCCTTCTGCGCAAGCAATCATCGTGAGCTATAGCTACAGAAAACTATTGTTACAAGTGCAGTCAAATTCACACCATTACACATGAATGTAGAGTCACATATCTCCAGGAATGACATCATAGACAGCAGTGTCTTTCTCCTCCGTGTCAGCATCAGTATGAGGGAGAGGGATGGTGGGGAGGGGCTGACTGGGGGGAGGGGCAGAGGACGAGGGAACCTCATACATCTCCTCCAGTTTAGCTGGAGGAGGAGGAGGTTCTCCATGAGAGATGTCCACCAGCTCATATCCCTCTTCTGTCTGTCCTCCCCCCACCTTCCCATATGCCTCGTTGGTTGAGGTGTGAATATCACCACTTGCCGACCTGTACCTGCACAGATGAAATGTTAACACACAGAGTGATTCATTTATGCTTCACAACACAAAATGTTTCAGGCAATACTCCTAGTGTATGCCAGTAAATATAACTTGATAGACTGTACTTCACACACCACACATACTTTTTGTCAGAATTGTTCTTCAGTGAAACTTCTCCACGGCGATTCTTGAGGATGAGAACAACAATGGCAATAGTAATAGCAATGATAAGAACTATGACAACTGCCACAACTCCTCCGATTATAGCATCTGAAACTTGTGCAGGCTCTTCATCACTGCTTTTCTCAACAGCAGGCATGTCAGTGGAGCACTCAGGCTCGTTGAGAGAAGAGATGGCCACTGAGCAGTGGGAGTCCACGGTCATGAGTACTCCAGTCATGATGAGGCTGGCCTCGCCTCCTCTCACCCAGGCCTCTATCAGAGAGACGAGGGAGCCACTGTCCCTCTCAGAGGTTCCCTCCAGTCTGGCTCGATACGTCAGGAACGACGGAGACTCTGGATAGCAGACAAATAGCTGGTTGTCTATCATTTCTGGCCCACACTCTGAACAAGACGACTTTAACTCCTTCACTACTGCAGCAGTAATGTGCTCCAGTTTCAGGGATCTCTCTGAACTCTGTAACAAAGAAAGAAGAATCTTTAACATAACATAGGAAGGAACTTACAATTTCTTCAGAACAGGAAGTGGGAACTTTACCCAAACGAAGTTGAAAGAAGGAATCTGTGGGGAAAGCATTAACATATTCTGAAACTAATATCAACTGAATTTTACAGTCTTGTTGAGTGTTGAATGAGGTGTTGGCAGGAGGTCCAGAGCCCCGAGTGTTACTGGCCACCAGAGAACAGGAGTAGTGAGTGTTGGGAGAGAAGCCGGCCACTGTGTGAGGTCCAGACTGGGAGGTGGGGGAGTGAGGGAGGGAGGAGGGGGAGGGGGAGCAGGAGATAGTGTAGCTGGTGATGACTCCATTACGCTGGGTGACAGGAGGAGGAGACCAGGAGAACTCCACTTCTCTCTCTCTCCAGGCACTGCATCTAACATCTCTGGAGATCCTGATGGAGCTGAGGGAATTATATACTGTCATCGTGAAAGTAATGGGGTTACATAGTACACGTACAATGCTGAGAAATGGAAGTCACGTGAATAAACTTTTTTGTGCACATAGAGCTACAAGTACACAAGAAAGAGAATGCCCAAAAAGGGCTCACTGCCACAATCCTCTCCTTCCAACAATGGTGTTTGTGTGTTCAGTGTGTGTGTATAGGTAAATACCAGACTCATTGGTAGTGATGTAGAGGGAGGCAGGGAGAGAGGATCCTCTGTCAGATATGGTGGAGATGCTGCAGTTGTATGGAACTCCAGAGAAGAGTCCAGACATTGTGGCTGAGGTGAGGGTTGGTGCCGACAGTGGGAAGAGACTGAGGGGAATGGGATCCCAGTCAGGAGAGGGACACATGTCAGGTTGTAGCCAGTGGTGAGGTGGGCCCCAGTGCTGGGCTGGCTCCAGGAGAATGTGAGAGAGGTCTCCGATACTGAAATTACCTCAAAGTTTTCCACAGTATAGGCAACTGCAAGCAAAACAGGTCAGGTATGCTTCCGAATGTTTTAGATAATGTCCTAGCTAAAAGAGTGAACAACAATTCGTCACAGGCTATATAATTATGAAAAGTGCATGTTATGCCCAGTTAGTTAGCACATGCATCAGCTCACATAAAAGTGTGCATTATTATGCTAATGTCCAGGTGTTTCACAAACCTTTTTGCTGTATGGTGACATTTGGCCCATAGGTGACAATACTTGGTAGTGTACTGGAATTAGTCACTACACTTATAGAAAAGTTTGCTCCTAGTGTTAGTCCAGTGATGACGATGCTAGTATCTGTCTCTACGGCTTTCACTGAGCCATTTTGTCTTCCATCTATTTGCTGGTAGTAGATAGTGTAGCCAGTAACATTGGGTCCTGCTGATGGTGTCCAGGTCACCAGTAGACTGTTCAGTCCATTCTGAGATACTCCCACATTAGATGGAGGAGAGGGAGCTGGTGTAATCATTAATATAAATAATTCAGTAATTCCATGAAATATAATCAGTCTCACCTTGTACAATCAACTCTGCTTCAACTTCTGAAAACTCATTAGCTACTGTACATTTGTAGGATCCTTTTATTCTGTCTGTCACTAACAATGTGTGAGTGTAGGATCCTTCTATTTCTTATGGAGGGTGAAAATAATGCCACCAGACAATGCTAGATGCCCTGAGTATAGAGAGAGTTACAGTATAATGTACATTCAGAAACCAAACATTACCTCTTCCAGTGTTGTACAGTCCAACATAGACAGTCTGAGGTGTGGATGCTGCATCTGGTACTGAACACCAATATATCCCCTCTAGTGCAGTACCAGTGTTCCTCTTAAGTCTCACTACCATAGGGCCTCTGTTTCTGGTAACCCCTGGAACACTAGTACCATCTACTCTAGTACCATCTGGTGCATACCAGTCTCCTGAAGTAGGAGTACCAGGACGGTTAGTATTACATAGTAGGGCATTGTTGTCACTGGAGCCACTATATTTGATATCCACATAGCCATGATCAGGGATGACAGCTCCATTCAGACTGAGAAAGACATCTACACACAATTATCATTCAAAGTATTGAAACAGAAAGTGAATGCTCACTATCAGGAGTCTCAATATTCTGAGGTTGGCTGTAGACTCCAGTACCACCACTGGTCCTTGCTACCACTTCAACTGTGTAGACTGTCTGTTTAGTCAGTGTACTGAGTGTGATCATTCCTCCACTGGAGTCTCCAGAGAGAAACCTGTGGCTCTGATCACCTCCCTCCTCCCCATACCTCACTGTGTAACCTGTTATCTCTCCATTCCACTGCCTGCAGTCCATTGGCCCCCACCTGACATTGATACTAGTGGAACTGACCACTGACAACCTCACAGAAGAGGGAGGGGCAGACGGAGCTGTGAGTGGGAAAGGTTGAAATGAGTGGACTGAGAGATAGACTGACCAGCAGCTGTTGTTGTGCCTGTGACAGTATCTTGTTCAGTCCTTCCTCCAGTCAGAGTGGCAGTGACAGTGATAGAATACTGAGTTCCCTCCTCAAGACCAGTCAGTTGATATGATGTTCCACTAGTAGTTATACCACTTCTGTAGTCAGTGAAACAGTTAGTGTTAGTGTTGGAGTAGGAGATGATGTAGCCAGTAGCTGTCAAAGTCTCCTCCAGTGTCCATGAGATGATCAGAGATGTATAGGATGATATAACTTGTGTACTAAGTCCATCTGTTGAGAAAGGTTTATCCTAAGGCAGAGAAAACCTGTGCCTATTACCCACTGGCATACAAAACTGGCATATAAAGTCAGAAGTGTTTTGTGTAGGTAATGGATGTTGTCTACACAGCCTAGTGGACATGCCTTCATGTCTCGGCAGTTAGTAGACCCTTAGCTTTTTGCCTACACTGTCAAAACATTCTCAACCCCTCACTGATCATTGAGACTCCAGTCACTAATTCCACTCATAATACTTTACTTTTGAGCCCTAAACTCACCATTAGTCCTGACATATACACCAGCTGTATGGTCCAGTACCAGCACCATTCATGTGCTGCCACTTGCACAGAGTACAGGGTTGATGGAGACAATCCAGAGATTGTAGCCTGTCTAGCACTCCACCGACACTAGCAGTTTCTTCTACCATTCCATTTCTCACAGCCTGTGCTATGTAACCAGTTATCTCTCCATTACGGTCAAGACATAACACTGGCTGCCAACGGACAGTTATACTACTGGCAGTGGCTGTACCACTTCTGACTGAGCTGGGACCTCCTGTAGGATCTGTGTAGAACAACAATGAATAACAGGGTAGGTACACATTATTGTTTGAGCCTCTTACCTGATTCCTCAGTTGTTGTAGTTACAGCATAACTGACTGGAGCACTCCCAGCTGCATTGAAGACTCTCACAGTAATGGTGTACCTATTCCCTGGTTCTAGTCCAGTTATTCTGTATGAACCACTAAAACCTTGATTTACAGTAATACTTTGCTGATTCCTATTGGAACATCCAACTGACATGTCTCTTTTCCATTGGACCATAAACCCAGTCACCACTGAGCTAGTGGGAACACTACCAGTGATGGTGATGGTAGTCTCGGTGACTGAAGACACTTGCAGAGATGGAGCTGGAAATGGAACTGCGAAAAACCTCATTATTTGCATACCAGCAGTTTATATTATTGTACTTACCCAAGGGAACATCAGCTCTATGAACACTTTCACTTAAAATCGTTGATGTGGCTCTTATAGTAATGGTATAAGTCTCTCCATTAGTAAGTTGAGTTAGTCTGTAGCTATCTTCACCAGTAATATTCACACTGCTTCCTCCAGTGTAAGAGATGCAGATAGCCAGTGATACCAACCGGTTGTGAGGGAGGAGTCCAGCTAACTCTGATACTAGTAGGACCATCCTGGACTGCTGTCACATCAGATGGACCTGAAAATTTTCAGCTCTGCTTGTGATTGAAAAATGGATATAAGTTTAATACCTAATGCGATCTTAGCTGATGCAGTAGAGGGCTTGTTATTAGACACAGTGCAATTATACACTCCTAGAGTAGTCACAGTCAGAGTGTGGGTGTACTGTGCAGTCACTGGGTCATTCAACACAGTCTGGGTTCCTTGGGTGACAGTGGTGGAGTCTCTGGTCCAAGTGACAGTGGTAGCAGGTCCACCAGTGGAGATACAGGTGAGGGTCAGCTGGACTGGGTCAAATGTCACTCCTCCTGATATTGAGATGCCCCCTCCTATTGTCAGAAGAAAGCCTTACCATTGTCTTTCGTCATTGTAGCTACCATACTTATAAGTACAGGATTTTGCAGGATTTTATGCATCTAAATGGTCAGCAATTTGCTTGCAGAGTGTGTAACATATTTTTAGATACGCTTAGCTAACAAATTTACCTCAGTATGGTATACAGTCCCACATAGACTGTGGCTCTCACTGAGATGTCTGTATCATCATGAACAGCATTGGTTGGAATGTCACAATGATATATACCAGTTGGAGAAGTAGCACTATTACTGCGACGTAGTTCAACTCTCTGTTGTTCTTCAGCCACATAAATATCTCCATTTGTCTGCAGCTACACCATCAGGGAAAATACCATTGTCCACGATGAGGACTTTACCTCCGCAACATGTCATCAGATCAGTGTTACACCAAACACTGGCTCCATTGTTTGTCCCCACTGTTTCAAGGTCTACATAACTATGGTTAGGTAGCCCAGCTCCCATGGAAAAGGAGACATAAGGGAAAGTCTGACAGCCGACCTCCAGACTACAGAGGAGACTCAACCCAAGCACAAATCTCGAATCCATCGCAGAGTGAAAATGTACGAAGCTGAGCCGTGTAATTATACCAAACGCGCTTCCGGGAGCGCGCGGCTTATTGCGCGTGCGCTCTGTGCATCGATCATAGAGTTGTGAACTGAGCAACAGAAAACTATTGTGACAAGTGCAGTCAAAATTCACGCCATGGCACGTGAATGTAGAGTCACATATCTCCAGGAATGACATCATAGACAGCAGTGTCTTTCTCCTCAGTGTCAGCATCAGTATGAGGGAGAGGGATGGGTGGGAGGGGCTGACTGGGGGGAGGGGCAGAGGACAAGGGAACCTCATACATCTCCTCCAGTTTAGCTGGAGGAGGACGAGGTCCATGAGAGATGTCCACCAGCTCATATCCCTCTTCTCTCTGTCCTCCCCCCACCTTCCCATAGGCCTCGTTGGTTGAGGTGCGAATATCACCACTTGCAGTTATTGCTGATCCATACCTGCACAGATGAAATGTTAACACACATAGTGATTCATACAATACTGCAAAAATGGTAGTGTAATATAGCTATGGCATCATAACTTGATAGACTGACACACGTCACAATCATACTTTTTGTCAGAAATGTTCTTCGGTGAAACTTCTCCACGGCGATTCCTTAAGACCAGAATAATAATGGTCATGACAGCAATAGTAATGATAAGAACTATAACAACTGCCACAATTCCTCCGATTATAGCATCTGAAACTTGTGCAGGCCCTTCATCACTGCTTCTCTCGACAGCAGGCATGTCAGTGGAAGGAGATGAAGTGGCAGTAGGAGTGTGAGAAGGAGAGCACTCAGGCTCATCGAGAGAAGAGATGGCTACTGCACAGCTTGAGTCCAGACTCATCTGTACTCCAGTCAGGACGAGGCTGGCCCCGCCTCCTCTCACCCAGGCCTCTATCAGAGAGACGAGGGAGCCACTGTCCCTCTCAGAGGTTCCCTCCAGTCTGGCTCGATACGTCAGGAACGACGGAGACTCTGGATAGCAGACAAATAGCTGGTTGTCTATCATTTCTGGCCCACACTCTGAACAAGATGACTTTAACTCCTTCACTACTGCAGCAGTAATGTGCTCCAGTTTCAGGGACCTCTCTGAACTCTGTAACAAAGAAAAGAAGAGTCTTCTATAAACTATAGAGCATAACATAGGAAGGAACTTACAATTTCTTCAGAACAAGAAGTGGGAACTTTACCCAAACGAAGTTGAAAGAAGGAATCTGTGGGGAATGCATTAACATATTCTGTTGAAACATTGTTAGCTACTACACATGTGTAGAGTCCTGCTGTTCTATCTGTCAGAGTGTGGGTGTACTGTGCAGTCACTCCATCATTCAACACAGTCTGAATTCCTTGGGTGACAGTGGTGGAGTCTCTGGTCCAAGTGACATTGGTAGCAGGTCCACCAGTGGAGATACAGGTGAGGATGAATGAATTGTCAGTATGGAGAATGAAAGTAATGTCACCAGACAAAACAAGATGCCCTGAGTATACAAACAAGAGAGTGCCAGCATTCAAAAAAACAATGTTATATACCTCCTCCAGTGTTGTACAGTCCAACATAGACAGTCTGAAGTGTGTATGCAGCATCCTCTACTGAACACCAGTAATCCCCTCTGGTGTAGTTATACCAATGGTCCTCTTCAGTCTCACTACTTATACCCACTGTTTCTGATAACTCTTGTTCTATCTGGTGCATACCAGCCTCCTGAAGTAGGAAAACCACGAAGGTTAGTATTACAGAGTAAGGCATTGTTGTCACTCAAGCCAATATTTCTGATATCCACATAGCCATGATCAGGAATGACAGCTCCATTCAGACTTAGAAAAACATCTACATACACAATTATCATTCAAAGTATTGAAACAGAAAGTGAATGCTCACTATCAGGAGTCTCAATATTCTGTGGTTGGCTGTAGACTCCAATACCAGCACTGGTCCTTGCTGCCACTTGCACAGTATAGACTGTCTGTTTAGTCAGTCTGCTGAGTGTGTCCATTCCTCCACTGGAGTCTCCAGAGGAAAACCTGTGGTTCTGACCACCTCCTTCCTCCCCATACCTCACATAGTAGCTTGTTATCTTCCATTTCGATGCCTGCAGTCCCATTGGCCCCCACCTGACGTTGATACTAGTGGAACTGACCACTGACAACCTCACAGAAGAGGGAGGGGCAGATGGAACTGTGAGTGAGAAAGGTTCAGAATGAAGGAGAGAAGAGACTCTGAGAGATAGACTGACCAGCAGTTCTTGTTGTGGCTGTGACAGTATCTTGTTCAGTCCTTCCTCCAGTCAGAGTGGCAGTGACAGTGATAGAATACTGAGTTCCCTCCTCAAGACCAGTCAGTTGATATGATGTCCCACTAGTAGTTATACCACTTCTGGAGTCAGTGAAACAGTCAGTGTTGTTAGTGTTGGAGTAGGAGATGGTGTAGCCAGTAGCTGTCAAAGGCCTCTCCAGTGTCCATGAGATGGTCAGAGATGTAGTGAATGAGGAGATAACTTGTGTACTAAGTCCATCTGTTGAGAAAGGTTTATCCTAAGGCAGAGAAAACCTGTGCCTACACATTGGCATACAAAATAGGTAAAATATAAAGCCAGAAGTGTTTTTTGTAGGTAATAGATGTTGTCTACACAGCCTAGTGGACATGCCTTCATGTTGACCCTAGGAATGGCTTTTCTGCCTACACTGTCAAAACATTCTCACCCCTCACTGATCATTGAGACTCCAGTCCTCTTTCCACTCATAATACTTCGCCTTATTTAGTCCTCCCCAACTTACCACCAGTCCTGACAGATACACCACTGTATGGTCCAGTACCAGCACCATTCACTGCTGCCACTTGGACAGTGTACAGGGTTGATGGAGACAATCCAGAGAGTGTAGCTTCCCTAACATTGCCACCAAAAGCAGTAGTCATATTCTCTACCATTCCATTTCTCAGAGCTTGTACTCTGAAGTCCCGTTATTCTTCCATTGCGGTCCAGACAAGGCACCTCTCCCCACTGGACAGTAATACTACTGGCTGTGACACTAGTATTTCTGACTGAGGTAGGACCACTGGAGGGAACTGTGTGGAGAAAGAAGTGAGGGACAGCGAAAGGCTAATAGTATCTCATACCTGTCTCCAAGGTGCTTGAAGTGACCTTATCACTGACAGGACCATTGCCAACTGCATTGTATGCTGTTGCAGTGATAAAATAACGATTGCCTGGCTCTAGGTCAGGTATTATTTCAGCAATGAAACCACTATTCACATCGATACTACCATCATCCTCATCAGAGCAGCCAACTAATGTGTCTCTCTGCCACTGGACCATAAACCCAGTCACCACAGAGTCATCGGCTGGGACACTACCAGCGATGGCTATAGTAATGTCAGTGACTGAAGACACTTGCAGAGATGGAGCTGAAAATGGAACTGCGAAAAACCTCATTATTTGCATACAAGCAGTATATATTGTACTTACCCAAAGGAACATCAGCTATGTGAACACTTTCACTTAAAATCATTGATGTGGCTCTTATAGTAATGGTATAGGTCTCTCCATTAGTAAGTTGAGTTAGTATGTAGCTATCTCCACCAGTAATATTCACACTGTCACTGTTGCTTCCTCCAGTGTAAGAGATACGATAGCCAGTGATACCAACCAGTTGTGAGGGAGGAGTCCAGCTAACTCTGATGCTGGTAGGACCATCCTGGACTGCTGTCACATCAGATGGACCTGAAAATATTCAGCTCTGCTTGTGATTGAAAAGGGATATAATTTTTATACCTAATGCGATCTTAGCTGATGCAGTAGAGGGCTTGTCATTAGACACAGTACAATTATACACTCCTAGAGTAGTCACAGTCAGAGTGTGGGTGTACTGTGCAGTCTACTGGGTCATTCAACACAGTCTCAGTTCCTTGGGTGACAGTGGTGGAGTCTCTGGTCCAAGTGACAGTGGTAGCAGGTCCACCAGTGGAGATACAGGTGAGGTCAGCTGACGGGTCAAAATCACTCCTCCAGAATATGAGACGCTCCCTCCATTTTTAAAAGAAAGAGCCCGTATTTAGGTTAATGAAGATTAAGCCTACCTCACATTATTCCTGATGCACTTAGCTAACAAATTTACTCCACACTATTACAGTCCCACATAGACTGTGGCTCTCACTGAGATGTCTGTATCATCATGGACAGCATTGGTTGGAATCTCACAACGATATATACCAGTTGTAAGGGACAGTCTGACACTTAACCTCCAGACCACAGACGAGAATCAAAGCAAACAAAAATCTGGAATCCATCGCGCAACAATTAGAATGATGGTGGTATTCTCGTGTTCTTATAGAGTGAATGCTTCCGGTGAGCTTTATTTCGCGCATGCGCACAGGGTCAACGTTCCGACGCACGCGCGGGAAAGGCGCATTGTCATGGAGTTTCAGATCCCTCTGTCCCGCGAGGACCTTCTCCGGCCGTCGGGAGGCTCCCAGTTCTTCGTATCAGAGCCTCTCCCAGCCAGAGAGACTGTGTCTCGACTAGAAGGTAGGCCTAGTAATGTTTGCCCGCAACCCTGCCTTCTCTCCCTCCTTAAAACTTTTTTCTATAATATACACCCTGACCTCTCTTATATTGTGCTTCCCTTTCTGTTACGTCTCTGTGGTGGATTGTTTGATAATGTACACGTCGGGCACCCCATGTTACTAGTATCTTGAATATCTTGTCTAGAATGCAGGTCACTGCTGGACTCTAGTGTCGTTGCCTCCATTCCCGAGTGTTTCCCTGTCTTCTTCAGTCTTCTACAGTGAGTCTGCACACAGCATAATGTATGCATATCCCATAGCTACAGACACACACACACCTTGTGAGCTGGATTAATTAAAAAATGTATCTTCCAAATCAACCAACCAAGTTAGTGTAGCCAACGTAATTCAAACCTGCTTACTTACTGACCTAAGTACATTCTACTAACCCACAGTGTACTTATGAAGCATAAAGCAATTGCCATAACGGTGTCACTAACTACAGTAGTACTTTATAGGGATGACCGGTTTTCCAGCATCATGCCCATACATTTGAGATTTTCATAAGACTTATGCTTCAAGAATTGTATTTGGCTCACTTTATTATGTGTGTCTGCAGGAATTTCCTGAGTGTTGGTGTGTCAGTGAGAGAGAGTTACTGGAGGATTGGGGTCAGGGGGCTGGAGGGGGTGTGTCACCAAGTGGGCGGGGCTAATTTCACCGGTATGACACAGACAAAGAAGACGGAACTGAGGAATGCACTTAAGGTCCATGTCTTCCCTTCTCTCCCACCTTCTCAAACTTTCCCTCTCTTCCATCTTCATTGCAAATGTGTTTCTTTGACTTTTCTCCACTCTTGCTTTTTACTGATAGAAGTATGTTTCTTTTGAGATTTATTTCATTTTCTCACTACTAGATGATGGTGTATGTGGTAGTACAGTTGGTTGAAGAATTTGAGACTGATGCCACCAAACCTGATTCCCTCGAGATTGTCACCAACAAGGTTCAGTTGTGAACTATTGTTAGGGTAGGGGTGCGAAGTGATAGTGAAATAGAAGTAATATAGGAAGAGGTACAGCGAGATTATATTATTCCATCCTCCAACATAGTCAAAGTATTGGGGATGGTTTGTCATTTCGTTTATTCACGTGCCTGCAAAAATGCAAAACCGTTCATACTCGATAGCCTTTTTGAGGGGTTTGGGAAAAAGTTACTCGCTATATGATGGTATCTGCAGTTGAAAGAAAATTTTCATAGAGGCAAGGTGGTGTTGCTATTCCACCCTCCAACTTCAGTCAAAGTATAGGGGATGGTTGGTTTGTCATTTCCTTGACACATGTGCCAGCATGCAAAACTGTTAGAACCTTCTCCATGGGAGGACGCGAGACGGCGTTGGGACTTCGCTTACCGCTGCACTGGAACTGCCCGATTGACCCATTTTTCGTTTAAATTTCTTACACACTTTCCCATAATGGAACACAAACTCGTGCGCATGCGTGTAAGTAGTGGGTGGGGCTCTCATGCACCAAATGGACGATTACTTGATACCTTGTGTGGTGAAGTCAGCCGTTTTCCTCACCGTTTCAGGTACAGAATCTGCTTCATTCATCTTTCTGTGATGATGTATTACATCAGGACAGAGGGGCTGGGCTCGGCAGGGTCCAGGTTCAGTACCAGACTCTGGGAATGAGACCAGACCATCAGGTTGTCAGGTGGTGGACGTGGAATTCTGTTCCTCCATTCCAGAGGTCGTAGGGTGCATCTCGTTCCAAAACTACTATATACACTCATACCCTCACACTGTAACCGGCTCTCTGAGCAAATTTCAAATTCCAAATCCGACCGCCCAACTCAAAAGGAATGGAGAACAGGAATAGAGAGGGTTCAACTGATGCCAAACTGCCACTGTGAACGAGGCAGCCAGAGCTTGGTTGTACTAAATAAAAGCCATTTCCTAGCCTCGCTGGAGAATGTAATTAGTCTCCGTCTCATTTTGAGACAGCCGTCTCCAGAATGGAACCAGTTTGGTATCAGTGATCTCAAAATCTACTCTGTTGCTAATCCGTTCCACCAGAATGGAAATACCGGAACCAGACTACTTTCATGTCGCCTGATGGAATGGAACAGGTACTACGGAATGGACTGCAGACCAATGGCGACATGGAATCAGGGCAAGACATAAACAGACACCCTTACGATGTAGCAACACTCTCTTACACGTGAAAAAAATTATGAAAGTGCTTTATGACATGAGTAAAGTTGGCTCATTTGATTTTGATGCTGTGTGAGACGTTGGCTCTGATGCCAGAGGATTCACCTCCGTAGCGATGGAGCTCCTTCATTACCTCACGCACCTGCACAGCACAACAAAAACCAATATAATAGTTAGACGCTGATTGAGGTAACTAGCGCGCAGTAGAAAGCCGAGAGCCCCGGCATTGTGGCGCCCCGAGGGCACTACCCCCCGGCCGGGGCACGAGGCTTTCTACCGGCGCGCGGTTACCGCTTGCAGATTGCGAGTTTGGCGGTGACTAATTAAACACCCTCGGTGCGCATGCGAGAGGGTTACAGTAGTTGGGTTTATCTGTGTGTCTGTTACTCTTCATCTCACTTCTTGAGTGTTTGTTCGTCTCACAAAGGATACGACCTACTTAAAACGTATATTTTTCATGAACTCCCTTAAAAAGTTATGGCGTGAAAACCAAGTGAACAAGCCAATATGTAAATTAGCACAGGCTTACCTCGACCGCGTCTGTTCGCTCTGTGTGTCTTGAAGGCACAACAAGTCACAACGAAGGGCATGTATCGACTCCCGCATGCTATTTACTACTGTAGCTAGCCCGTGCCAGACTCTCCGCAAGCTATATACTAGCGGGATACCACGAGAAAAGGCATAAAAATCCCAGCCCATCAATAGTGGTACCGCACATGCGCAGTTCGCCGAGGGTTTGCACTTTAGTGCTTTTCATTTGATTTTGTGACCGTCCCGCGAACGCGCTGGAGCCTCCTGATGGCAACAAAGAAACGTCATGAACGAACCGATGAACCAGACTCGTGTTGCTTCTTCACCTAATGTCGACCCATTCTCAACGTCAGGTACGGACTTACTACGTTGACCAGGCTTTGATCGCGTTGTGTCGGGTCGTCCTCTTTGTCCTCCGCGGCCTGTTTTCTGACTTGCCCCGCGAACACGCTGGAGCCTCCTGATGGCAACAAAGAAACGTGAACGTACCGATGAACCAGA